TGAGAGAGGCGGGGCATAGAGGACCTACACTAATGTACAGCATTTGAAAAAATAATGTGTTTTTGAACATTAAAGCATGTCAACATATTCTGTTACACCAAATACACAAAATAATGATCTTTAAAAAAGCATCATATGACCCCTTTAAACATTAGTCAACCGAATTCATGGTCTGCTAGTGTCTAGGTGCCCCATTTTTAATGATGGTGATTTAAAGGAATGGTTCACCCAAAATGAAAATTCTGTCATTAATTACTTTCCTTCTAGGGCTGGGACAATAAGTCAATGCATCGCGATTCGTGGATCGATTCTGAGATTTTCAGAATGCATCGTGATTCTCTCTCAAATCGATTCTGAGCTTAGTAAACAACAGCAGATGGTGCTCTAGGTTTGTTTTTAACCGCACACTCAAATGCTCACGAAGAAGAGCGCTTGGGTGTTCGGCTGAGCAATGTAAGTTGTTAAATCTACTTGCACATCGGCTTTTATGATGCGAGATTAACGTAAACAGCCCACTGTGAACATCCTTGTAATTAGCGTCAACCTTTTTGAACTTTATGAATGATTATTTTAGGTTCAAGTGGTGCATAAGGAACTGGAAGCAAGCAGAATACAGCTATTTCTAAAGCACACAGTGCCATCTGCTGTTAAAAACTAAGCTCAGAATCGATTCAAGAGAGAATAGCGATGCCTTAGGAAAATCTAAGAATCGATGCAGAATAATTTCTCGATTTGCGATGCATCGATTTACTGTCCCAACCCTATCTCCCTCATGTCGTTCCAAACCCGTAAGACCTTCGTTCATCTTCGGAACACAAATTAAGATATTTTTGATGAAATCTGAGAGCTTTCTGACCCTCCATAGACAGCAATGGAACTGACACATTCAAAGCCCAGAAACTTAGTAAGGACATCCGTGTCAGTCTCCGCTGCTATTCACAAGAGTACCACGACACATGCGAGTGCATTTCCCTGTTTGAAAACAAGCTGCAGCACATGGCGTTCTACGTCAGCAGTGACACGCATGTGTCGTAATACTCTCATGAATGGTGGCGGAGACTGACGCAGAAGAAAAAAAGTTGAATAAAGTCATTATTTTTGTTTTCTTTGCGCACAAAAAAGTAGCTTCATAAAATTACAGTTGAACCACTGATATCACATGGATTATTTTATTGATGTCCTTGCTACATTTTTGGGCTTTGAATGTGTCAGTTCCGTTGGTGTCTATGGAGGGTCAGAAAGCTCTCGGATTTCATCAAAAATATCTTCATTTGTGTTCCAAAGATGAATGAAGGTCTTGCGGGTTTGGAACAACACGAGGAACAGTAATGACAGAATTTTCATTTTTGGGTGAACTATCCCTTTAATATGAAGCTATCCAGTCTGTTCAGTAGGACCTATGATTTATATGCCTTATATACTGGCTAGGACGAAATTAGCTTGAGGCTCTGTAATGTACAAACGTTCATTATAAGCCATTATTTAAAATATGAATCTTTTGAAACATTATAACTTCACTGTTACTTTTGATCAATTTCATGCATCTTTACGGAATAAAAATATACATTCTTTAAAAACAAAAAGAAAACCATTCCAAACTTTTGAACAGTAGTGTATTTTTTAATAGATTTTGCAACCCATTTGTACATGTTGCAACTACTGACAGACGCACATCTCCAAGGTGCCTCATTATTAATGGTGGTGATTTAATATGAGGTTATCCAATCTGTTCGATAGGACCTATGATTTAAATGCCTAATTCACAATCTAGACTGGCAAAGACTAAATTAGATTCAGGCTCTGTCATGGATGAGTGTTCATTATAATCCGTAAATCATACACACAGTCATGCTGGTCAAAAGGCATGTCAGTGAGAATACAATCAGTTCAGTTTGCCAAATGCAGATCAAGTCAGGTTTTTGAGGGATTTTTAAGTAACATTTGCATTGTTGTTTTGCTTGTGATGCAGACCTGTAATTGTGACAGCACTCATGTAGCGTTTGACCAAACACCTACATGTGTGGGATCAAAGCCACTTCTCATGTGCAGACTTTACCTCCCATGTTGTTCTTGGATTTTCTGAGACTATAAAGGGCTGCGTTGGTGGTACCAGCATTTGGATTCTATTAAAATCTATGGGCAAGTAGAGAAGTGAAGAGGGTGAGATAGTGGGGGAAGGGAAGATCAAGTCTGGGCCAGTGAGCTTTCATAACAAAAGCAGTGGAGCACAGCTCCAGGGAAAACAAGAGAACCGCAGACCAACAGAGACTCTTATTTCTCCACCTTGGAGCGACCAGAGACCCCTACCCAGTTTACTGCCAAGTGCCAACTGGACTGTTCACACAAATACTGACACAAACACTCTTTATTAATTTCCACCCACCCCACCTCCCCAACACAAATAAACGGCTTCACTGCCAGTGCAGACAGATGATGAGATGCTCTCGTCCTATTGTAGTGAGGAACTTCCCCCAGTGTAAACCTAGAAGAGATCAAGAAGTTTGGTGATTCAAGAAGAACCCATGGGAAAGCCTGATCTTTCTGGTAAATCATAGCATGGTTTCAGAAAGTTTTTTCTTTCATACTTCTAAAAGCAAATTAATATATCCCACAACCTGTCCGAAAGCCTGGAAAAGAGAAACTCTTGGTCACCAGCTGAAGCCCATAGTCAACAGCAAGCAGAAGGAGCAGGGTGAAGGGGGGGAAA